TCTTTCGCTTGTATCCCAAACATCATATATAACTAGCGATGAGACGTTTGCCAGTTTTACCGCTTTGGAACAACCGTTCCAATAAAAACTCCTCCTCTAGTCTCATTCCTTGTGTCTTCTCCCACCCCTTTTCTCTCTTCCTCTCTTTTTCTCGTTTTCCTCTCTTTAGGTTCCCTCGTAGAGCAGGCGTGTCCGATGTTTGACAGAACAAAAGACTATCGACCGAGTAAACCCGAAACCTTCCCTTTTCCTTAAAAATAGACTCCTGCGATCGTTCTCTGCGCTCTTCGTTTTCTCTCTAAAACAATTTTTATTCCAAGTGCTCACATGTACACTCGTCAATCTCTTTCCGAGAAGATGAGGAGGAAGGACGGAGGGATGTCCTTGCCAGCTGGCTTCTTCCTGCGTGCGCCATCCAATGAGCCATCGCGTACAAATTATCGAAAATTGGTCCATTTTTTGGACCGCTCGGATGCCTCTCGACATCGGTCAACTGCCATACTGCCTCCCTATTGTCCTTCATCCTCGAGACGCGTTTTTTATCGAGTGGCGCGGGGTGGCGAGCTGCGGCACGATAGCTCTTTCGGGTGCGAGATCGTTTTTTGTCATGCCGGTGATTTTTTGTGCAATTTAACACTAGTTTTCAAAGTCCTAGAAAATTGGAGCAGCTCGTGCGGCTAAAATTGCTGAAAATCAGCGAGTAATTACGGATGTTGCATCTCACTGGATTTCGTCTCATTCGACGAGAACTTCACGATTCATTTCCTTTCAATTAACTTTGAAGACGTCCAATATTTCGAGGCATGTAATTTCAAATTCTTGAGAGTTTCGAACGTTTTGCAGAATTTTCATTCTAAATTGGATACAATTATGGGATTTATTTTAAAACATTTTTGAAAATATCAAAATTGTTTGGAAATGTTTTTTTTTTTTTTGGTACAATTCTATCTCTTGTGGGAACGCCGATGCTTGAACATGTTTTTCTCGTTACAATGGATCCTTCGTTACTCGTGACACTCGGACGACCTCGCATGTGACTTAACGATGCTTAAATAATTAACGTGAAATTCGATTGGTCATGGAATGCGATCTTTCTCTCTCCGTCTGTCTACCTCTTACACGATGCACTTATTACAGCGTACAAGTGATTGTGACAACCTGTAACTCCTAATTGTTCAAGCTCCAACAATGAAGCTAACAACTTTTATAAACTAGTGAGCGATTAATCAATAACAAACGCAATTGCAAATAAAGAAATATGTCTTTATATGTTTTTAAAGCTGTAGCTGGATCTTGAAAATAAAGGAATGTAAAATTTCAACATAACAACCACACTGTTGAAAAATATATATATTTTGGGATTTATAAGATATAAATTAATTATTTAAAAATAAATAATAAAGTGTCTCTGACATTTTTGGGAGCAAATGTTATAACTTTCCTCTGCCATTTGTGTTTAATAGAAACTTTAGCACATTCTCTGCGAAACGTGTCTAGACATAATAAGTGCATCATTAACATAAAAAGGTCCACTGTCTCATTCTATTGAACGTGCAAATATTTCTGCTGTCAACGCGAAACAACGAGATATTCATTTCGAACAAAGCCGAAAGCGGGGAATCGAAAGACACGGTTCGCCAATCGCTTATATTTCACGATTCGAGTCGGTGCAAAAAGAAAAGCGGGAGCGTCCGCGTGCGCACCTGCCGCGGTTTTTTCACGGCGGAGAAGCACACCGATGGGCTCGCGCGAATACGCAGTCGAGACTCCTCGCTCGCTCCTCCTCGAGAGGGCCGCGCGATCCTGCGGCATGTAAATGCGCGGACCCGGCGAGGTGATATTTCGTGGTCCGCCGGCGCTCGGGCCCCGGGGACCGACCGCCATTGTATCCGCGCTCGCGGCCCGAGCGCGCGCGCGAGCGCCCGGGCTCATTAAATATTAACGAGAGTCTCAATTTCTTCATTTCGTTGATGAGTCGCCGCGCGCCATCTGAGAGAACCCGCATATAGATTGAAAATTAACTTATATGAGCGCCGACAAAATATATACGGCATGCGGTGCACTTATACGACTCGAGAGGCCTACAATTTACACGGGACCTCGCTATGTTGGTATAACCCCTAAGTAGAACCCTCGTCCTCTCGACCCTCCCGCACCACTCCTCCCGCGTCGTCTTTTTCTCCGTCTTCCTTCCCTTCTTCTTCGTCGCCGTCGTATCTTCCTTTCGGTTTATCCGCTTCTGCCCGTGCATACGAACGTGAAATCCTTAAATACCTAATTTGATGCTAATTACAACTCGCACTTGGGTCTTGTGTGAGAGAAGGCGGGCGACTAAAGTGTCCACGCTTGCGGCACAGGATATCGTTTGTGAAGTATTAGATTGAGGAGTATTCGATTTAGGAATTTCGGGTTTTGCACATCTCGAAAACTTTACACCCTTAGTTCTATTTATATAATTTTATTCTATATATTTATATGATTGGAGAGGTTATTTAAAACTAACATACGCACACACATACACGTATATATACATACAATTGACATATTTGATGCATAATTACTGAACTGAAACACATTAAATTTGAATTGTCGGAATTTTTTATTTATGAATGTAGAAAAGTTTCAACATCAGAGTTTAGATTTTGTATGTTTAAAATCTTTATTCTTCATCACTTTTGCAATGTATAATTTTAGAAAATATTAAAATCTGTTCGCAAACCTTTCTCTGATCATAAACATAAATATGAACGAAAAGAGCAATTTTGAGTTGGTTCACGCGCCTCAGCGTGTTGCTGAACTATTTAGACTGCATTATATGTAATGCATGCGAAGCTAATTTGCATTAAACGCAAAAGTTTAATACATATTAAACGAATTATTGCGAATTATTCGAAGAAGCACGCGAGAGCGCGTAGGTCTCGGGTTATATTTTACGCCAATTAGAAAACAAACTTACCTGTTCACGGTTTTAAGACCGAAAGGAATAGATATCGCGAGTACGAAGAGGAGAGCAAATTGCGTCTAAGTAAGTCGAGACGTACATAACTATTTATTATGCGATAATAGTTGCACTCGAATCGTAGCACATTGATTTGTCTATAGAGTCGGAAATAATCGCTTCGCTCTTTAATGTACACTTAATCATCGCTATGCTACGCGTACCTAACGTGCGATCTATCGATTTCCTCCGTCGAGCATCATGTGAGACATATTTTAAAACATGTGATATTTTCATGATATTGGAATTCAATTTATTTTAAAATTAAAAAATAAATAAATATAATAATCTGCAAAACTAGGAATATTTTTATATTCCGGGAAAGCGTGTCTTATCTGAAATGTTATTAATCTTTGCAAAAGTAGATAAACACTTTGGAGAGAACACCTAGAGCCTTTTTATTTTATTAAATTAATTATATGTAAATTTTCACGCTGATGCTCGCAAGACATACCGAATCTCTCTCGAGAATAATTTCAAATTGAATATTAATAAATAAATTGACGCAAATTGCCGCTGAGAAATGAAAACTTGTCGGCGGCAAAATAAAGAATTGCGTTGATCAATTAATCTGAACAAAGTTCGTGAAAATAGATGGTTGATTTCGGTGATTTCTCACACAATGTTCAAACGTTTCAATATTGGAAAAATATTAAGTCTATAATAGTTTCTCCTATAACGTTACACATGCTTAAGAGGTCGAATCTGATTAGAGTTTCGCAAACTTGCGACAACCTTAATCTTCATTCGCAGCCACATGCACATACTGCGTTCAAATACGTGTACGTGTATGTGTGTGTGTATGTATATGCGTGTGCCTCGTACTGCTCGAATTCAAAGATGACGATTTGGAGGGAAAACTCGAATGCAAGAACACATATAATGTCAAAGGCTTGATCAAGGCGCAAATCTCCCGCCCTTTCAAGTGGTTCGAGAAAATTCGGACGAATGCAGTTTGCAAAAATATATCGCGTCCTTTGAATTCCAGCAGATCGTTAAAAAATTTGTCTCTTAGCTACGTTTTGGCACGAGCAGAGGAACGCCGTTTTTATGAATTTTTATACATTTATGCCGCTAAATATAAAAATCACGGACGCTCTCGGCTGGATTTTTATCGAGTTTCGCCGAATTTCGTTTTGAAATCATATTTCCGTGAATTTCTGTTTCCATTTTTTCAATTTCCGCTTGCATCTTTAACATTTATCGATGATAAATTCAAGACTATGTTCTTTTTATTACTTTATGATTAATGTAGGAATCGTTATCGTCATGTTTGCAATCTTAATAAATTGTCGTTGCTTTCTTGTGTTAATATGATTAAATTAAATTAAAATGATAAATAGTGAACGTGAGATTTTACATTTTTAAATTATATTTTGCACTTTAGTAATCTTAATTGATTAATTTTAGCTAATTAATTACGGAGTAAAATCAATTAGGATTGTAATGAATTGTAATTTGATTGATGAATATTAAATCGATTGACTGTGGCGAGAAGTCGATAAAAATTAGCCGTGCACGAAATTCCGTGTCAACTCAACGAGGATAAATTAAATAATTCCGCTACGTGATTGCACATATAATGTACGCGTCCGTCCGGATGGACGAATCTTTATTTAGTTCAATGGCACGGTCCCTGCGACAGTGTATAAAATGTCCTAAACAGTTGCATACAATGCTTTTAATAGATTAAGAAGTATCGGTATATTTCATATAATTGAAACAATAGTCAAAAGGAAGGAAAATTTCAAGATTATCTAGAATCTTATGGAGATTTTCAAATTGTATCGAAAACATCGAGAAATTGCTAGAAAAATACTGGGAATCTTCAAAAGTATTTAAACTTTTTATATTTTTAGGTCTTTTAAGATTTTTTTATCTTATTATTTTACCAAATATCCAAATTTAGAGCTTGCTAAGAATGCTCATTAGACGACATTAAAAATGTAAGATTTTTAAAAACATTTAAATTTTCAATTATTTGAAATTCCAAATGCAGCATTCGAATTTTTATCTATTTTTGTATTTTTGTGAACGGACCGTCCGCTATGAACAAAAATCATCCGAGTTTCTTCAGGAACACACAAACTGGTATACATCTTTCTGGAACACTCTATATGTTCAACAGTGAACCGAGACCCCGTTACCGATAATTATCGATACAATCGCTAATGATACTCCCTCGTTGCGTACATACCTAGATTACACTCTTACTATTTTCGTCTAGTAATCTTTGGTAATTCGGATGTGCATGGAACTATGAATATTATCACTGATTACTTAAACATAATCGTCCTCCGAAATTTTATCCGCTAGATTTCTATCCGCTCCTTCGGAAAAGTCCTCCGACGAGCTGCTTTCCTTGTCACACGTTTTCTAGTCTCTCGAAACGACATCATGTTGAAAACCTTGAAGGAAACCGTTCGATTTCGCGCGATTAACATTTCTTCCGCACGAAATTCAACTATATCGCCGTGAAATTCGGATAATCGTTTCTGAAACTACGGCATAAATCACTGTAGATGTTTCGGAGCCGCCATTGTTGACGCCAGCGTTTATCGATGAGATTTCCTCCGGAAACGATAACGGATGTGTGTCATCGACTCGCTGAGCTCTTCAGGGTCGATTTTCGAGAAGGCGCGATAATCCCTCATCCAAGATGGCCGGAGAGGCTGCTGTAAGCGTCCTCCTCCATCTCAAGCCGTCGTCAGTAGAGGTCGGAGAAGGACACCTGAGAGGAGACGCCGGAGTGCAGGTGTTGTAGGGCGTGCAGCTCCTCTATGGAAGTCGAGGGCATGCTGTTGCTGTCGCCGAGGATGCTGGCGGCCGGCCCGATATTTGGGGAATTGCCGGTGCTGGAGGACACCGGCGTGCCAGAACAGCCGACGTTGCTGCCGGCGTTGCCGCCGTCCTGCCGCATCAGGTTCCGTCGCCATTTCGCGCGTGCGTTTTGAAACCACACCTGAACAATGCGAGAATCGGGAACATCGCGATTAATTTTGACCACTCACGGCCGGTTCGTCAATTGTTGATTGCTAAAATTTCATTTTCATTATTCTTTCTTATTAAGGTACTTCTTTCTTCAATTTTATATTTTTCAGCGTAACTTTGATTCGGAGATAAATCAACTTTGTTAAAGATACTTTGAAAATCGTGGGAAAATTGTAAGCGCGCGGGCACCGACGATGATAAATTGCCTCTTTAAGCGCACTCCGTTTCGCCATCCTCGAAGGATGCGCGCAAGCGAAAACTCTCACCTGCAGCACCCGTTTCGACAGGCCGGTCTTCTGCGCGAGCTGCTTGAGATCCTTGGCGTCCGGGTTCTGATTTACCGCGAAGTAATTCTTCATGGTTCGCAATTGATGGTGCTTGAAGCTGGTGCGCATACGCTTCGTACGCTGGCTCTGGTGCACCGGGCCCGGCGAGCCCACGGACGCGTCGTACGCGGCCAGCGACTCCATCGATGAGGACAGCTCCGTGGGATGCAGGAGTTCTGCAATGGCGAGTTCAACTAAAAAATGTTTTTTTTTTTCTTTTTTTCAACGTCAGCCCATCAGCGGCGTGTCTCGAGACCGTACCGTGAATCTCGTCTTGTTTGATGCGAAGTAAACGACATGCGATGGAGAAAGGAAGTGACGGATAACGCATACGTACTTTAAGGATACACAATATTTTTGAAATTTGAAAAGAAAATATCATTAAATTTAATTATAATGTAACATTGTTAAATCGAACTCTTTTAATAATTAAGCATATAGGAAATTATGCGAAGCACAGAATAGACAAACGGAAAAAAGCGCTAAAATCCATTTAAGTTTTCGAAACTCGAAGCCGAGAACCGAGGATTGAAAGAGAGATCTTTAAAGTCCTTCGAATTCGCAGGACTTTGAGAACCGCGAAACTTTCTCGGATAGCGGATGCAGGTGCGCTTCATTGAATATTTACATTTCTGCGATACTTCTTCCAACCGAGAATCGCTCTACAAAGATCAACTTTCGCGGCGGCGTAATATTTTTCCCCGCCGCTCTCCCGTCCCGCGCGATTCACTCTGCGGTTCTTCATGCGCCGTTCGCGCTCGTCCAAACGGCGTGTGACCTTAGAAGGATTTCAGCTCCGAGAGAGGTCCAAGAAGTCGACCCCTTCTCGCGGCGCACTTTCTTCCCCGATCTCGCGAACGTAACTGTGCTTTCCAATCGTCTCCGGGACAAAAATAAAAGAGGCGGAATCCGTGTCGTTCACCTCGACGAGAAAACGAATTCCGAAGACGCCGTGGCCGCTCGCGAAAACGCTTTTTCTCCCTTTTTCCCTCTCTTTCCTTCGATTGCCTCTCTCTCTCTCTCTCTCTCCCTCTCTCTCATTCTCTTTAGCGATCGCCAGTAGATCGCTCGTTCGTCGGGAATGGAAGTTCGGAACAATAAACAGTAATGGCGCATACGTGCCCGGGGATTTACTTCTGGGATCCCTTCTCGCCCGCCACCCTCCCCGCCTCTTTCATCGACTTGGAACCCGTTCTTCTCCCGATTGAATTCAATGGTTACCCTCGTCGTCTTATTTATTGGATGCGTTCCTTCGCTCCGCCGGCGCGCAACGACTGCAACTGCGCACACAACGGCACACTCTCGTCCCCTTTCCTGCGGATCTCGCTCTCCTTTTATTTTCGTCCGCCGTAATTTAGATAAATTCGTGCGGCGTGACATAACCGCTAATTGATCAATTAAGACGTTCCTTCCGCGCGTGTAAAAACTTAGCGCAATAGACGCTAGAAGTATCGCGCGCTTTCGAAAAATCACTCCTCTCGCTCGAAACGCACGCTCGTTCGTTCAGCGGAATATTCTTTCAGTTTGCATTACAATTCGGGATATCGCGCAATGTTATCGTGTCTCGTTCCCATTTCACATGTGAAAGGCGGTAAAAAAGCGCGGTTGGACAGAATACAGGCCTTCAGGTTCCGGCGCGGGGTGCTACACGCGAGTCGAATCGGAATTAGGATTTTCCCAGCGTACCTCTCGGCGGGGCCTTTCTGTTCCCGCAGAAAGAGGAACGGCTCCGGGGCCAGGCGGACAGTGACAGATAGGTATCGGCATCGCGAGATGCATCGATTGGCCGATCTGCCCGGAAAAGAATGCTGCCGCGGCCAATGCGTGGCCGCAGCCAGTAGAATGGCCGGCACCGTAATACCGCCTGCGAGTTTCTTGCTGTGCCGCCGCCGCCGCACGGGAATCCCTCTTTCTTTGCCGATTCCCGGTCCCTCAATTTTGCCGATTTTGGCTTCTAATTCGATCTGACAAATTGTAATCTCATTCTTAAGCCGTTAAATCCCAATCACCCTCGTCCCGCTGATTCCCGCTCGGTGAGAGAATCTCCTGGAATTCGCGTGTCCCTCCGTCGCGGCACAATTTCCTTTTCTGAGATAAAATAATAAATTTTCAAAAATATTTACAGTGCATTTAGCACTGAATGTAATTATATAATTATTTCCATGTACTTTTTCATTTTTTTAAATTCCAAAAATGTTAGATTTTTACCCTCTAATTAAATCGCTGTATTTTACATAACAGGATCCAGACGTTGCGTGCGGCATATCTTGTCGTTTAGTAATAGTCGAGTTTAGCGTCTTCTTGTTTCCGCTAGGAACCGATTACTACGACAGTGTCTCGCCGATCTGCCGTCGGCCGCGGAATAGCTCTCCTCGTCGTCGGCGTATCTTCTCGCAAAAAACTGTTCCAATTATATATAAAGACAATAAAACATCGCGCGCGAGGGCTGCCTGTCTCTCCCAGCGGCCGGTTGTTCCCGCCCGGAGCCGTGCGCGCGGGACTTCATGGACGATTTTATGGCTGTTGGTCGTAAATTCCGGTCTCGGTAGTCCGAGGCAGAGTGATCCTCGCTCTCTCGTCGATTATAAAATAACTGGGAATCGCGCGGCACCGGTCGCATCGCCGTCTCGGGGTCCGCGTCCGAGTCGGAACGATCGTAAAACCGGCGAGAATCATGTCGAAACGCGATATGAGCGTGCCGGTCGACAAATGATATAAGCCGAACGAAACGCGAGGAAATTGTCGATTCGGTGGACTCGCGTCATTCCGCTAATTTCTTCCGACTGAAGTGCCGCATCGCAACGATGATGGCGCGATAATTAACTTCGCGATTTATACGGAAGCGAACTCAGAGCGCTCGGAGCCTGCGGATTTGCACGTTCCGCAATATGACTTTTAAGCTATTTGCAATTTTTATCGCGATTTCATATTATCATTTATCGCAAGCTCAAACGGAACGAAACAATTAGAAATGAAAATTAAAACAGGACGAGTGCCTCAAGATCGGCGATAAGTCTTTGTCGCGAAGAATTCGCATATTGAATCATTCAGCAATTAGACATCTGTGTAGCGCGCGAGGCCGTCAAAGAATCCCGGCTCGCCGTTGTTGAATGCTCCAGTTAACGAGCCGAATAATCGCGGACAAAATGAAATAACATCTGCGATTCTTGAAGCAAGCCCGGGCAAATGTTTGCACGCGGGAACGCCCCATTATGCTCGTTGCTCGGTAAATAATGCAACTCCGTCGATTAACTCGTTTGCTGTAGCGTAGAATGAAGAGACAGCATTAGAGAGAAAGGGGAGAAGGCAAAAAGGGAGAGAAACTGGACGAAAGAAAAAAAAAAGAGAAGAAGGAGAGTCCGGTATTTCCTTCAAAGACGGAATCTTTAACCCTCGATATACAATTTTTATTTTTGTGCTTCCATTCTGAGCAGCTCTAAGAATATCTTCTTATTACTGTAAATTATTCATAGAGTCATTTCCAAATATAAAAAAATAAAAAAGATCTACTGACAAGTCCAGATAACGATGACGCTTACTTTTTAGTGTACCGAGGATTAAATATTATGATACAATAAATTTGAGTCACAGCAAAAAGTTGGATCACTAACAAATAAAGCTTATTCAACCGTGTACGAACATCTAGTTTTCAAAAATCCAGCAATCTATGAAAAAAGCAGGCAGAAAAATTTAGAGAACGCTCTTCTAAGGGCGGGGGGAAAAGGTGAGGGGGAAAAACGGAGGCAAGAAAATCGTTCACGATCGTACAAGATCGCGGAACATACATTGGCTGGACTCACCGAGCGCTCCAGCGGCCAGTCTCATCGTGACAGGTAGCTCGGAGCCGGTGACTTCCGACAGCTTCCGCTTCCGCGGCCGGCCCTTCTGCACCGTGCCGGTGGTGGCGATCGGACTCTGCTCGTAGTAAGACGGAAGCGGCGACACCCCGGCGAGCCGAGGTCCTCGATGCCGCCCGCGGCACCCCCGTAATCCCCGGCGCAGCACAGCAGCTCGTAGTGTGGTCTTGGGAGCGACGTGCTCGTCAGTCGTCAAGCTCTCTGTCAAGTAGTCGACAGACGACCTGACCCCCGCGTTATGCGCCGAGTTCGATGAACGAGTTCGACTGCGTGAAACGCGATCGTTGGGTTCCACAGGGTGGGATTTGATGATTGGTGGGATCGCCAGCAGTCGGAGAAATAATATCGTCGATTCGGCGAGTCGCTCGGTGTTCGGCGACATCTTTTCAAGCGTCGTATTTATTCTTTGACGTCGTCGCGGCGATAAATTAATTCCTAGATCGATTCCAAGTCACAATCTTGCGTAGAATTATTTCATTTCTACAAATTCATCACGCATCTTTGCAATGCGTGTGAAATTATTGAAAACAGTGATCAAAAAAAATTTTGTTTTGCACTTTTTAATTAAAATTATACATTACTCGACCTTCTAATTGTTGCATAATATTCTGTGGTTGCGTTCATAATTATAACTTCAAGATGTTTGATTCAATTGCATTTTTAAATCGATGATACATTCTCACATTTTACGTCGTGACAATCGTTTTCTCGGAAGCCGACGCTGAATCTGTATTCCGACGACCGTCATTAGCACTCAACAACTGTCATTAGCGCGCGATGGGAAGGGGAGAAGAGGAATGACTCGGTGCGACAAAGCGCTTCGTGCTGCTGTCAACCTCGTCATCGAACTCGTTGATAACAAGGAGAGGTGGCCTTTGAAGGATACTAATAGTCAGACGCTACTGTTTCTCACCTGCAATACACCAGGCCGTCTCGTTGGCCGAAATGGTCGCCTTTGTTCAGCGGAGTGCCGCAGGATGCGCAAATAAAGCACGCCACGTGATACACCAAGTCGCGGGCGCGCATCACCATCTCCGAGGCGGGAATACCGGCGCGACATCGGGAGCATCGTGGCACCGCGAATAGTCTGCAATCAGAAAACTCGTGAAATTAACTATCGTGCAAATCTTGAGATTCCAAAATATTGTCGAACTCTTTAATATCTAGTCGTTAAAAAAATTATTCCTCTAAATTATCTAAAAAATTCAGAATGAAAATATGATAAGTCTGCACAGTTTTTGAAGTTTCCCTAAAAAAGGCATGGAATTCATTTATGTCATAATCTAGTCATAAGTTTAGCTAATTTTTACACGTGAATAACAGGACTTGTGTTAGATAACGCTATATATAATGCTGTAAATTACGACAATAATGCTGATGTAATAATATATAATCAACGATAATATTATAATATTTTTTTGATTAAATATATAGTTACAATATATGTTTCTTTGTAATTGAAAGAATGAATAGCATGCTGGTGATCTACTTCTTTTAGAGTTGTAATTTAAAGTTGTGTCTGAGTTAAACTTTTCTTATAAATTGTTATACTATATAATTACGTAACCTTTTGTTTACATGTCAAGTTATTAAAAGTTTAACACGCTGACATTTGAAAGTTCCAAGTTTTGAAATTTCTAAACTTCAAAGTTTTAACGCAGGTATCATCTTTGCTGCAATTATGCTATTATCATTATACCATTTTTTTGTATCAATAATCAGGCTAAAAATTAAAAAAATCCAAAAGTTCTTTAGATTTTTCTTAACTTGTTTACTCATTGCTAACTTCCTTTAATTTTGTTTGTTAAAACAAAGATGTATGAGAGTTTAATGGCGCATTATTTGCTTTTGCGTGAATATTTGCGAGTGTATTGCGAATTCCGCTTGAGATGAATTTTGCAAGCGATCGAAGCGGACCATTCGCATTTGCGTAGACGGAAACAAAGGGCTCGCGTTGTTGCATATTGCATGGACGACGGCTGTTGAATTCCTCCCTTGTTCGCTCTAACGAACTCGCTTCTCAAGCTTTCATTCTACCCTCCTCCTAAAACGTTGAACGCAATGCAGACGCATTATTTTATACAGTAAATGATAATACTTAATTGTTTATGATTTTCAACTTATAAGTTTTTAATATTTTTTAATTTTAAATTACATTTAAAAGCTTTTTACATATTAAATTACATTTAATATGTAAAAAGTTAAAATTAAAATTGAAATTTTGTTTAACTGTTAATTAAAGTTTTAATTAACATTTTAATAATTTTTAAATTTAGAAATAAAAATATGCACAGAAAACACTGGAAAAGTTACATGCGACAAAAATTGTGTATAGAATATTATTTGATCCTTGCAATTTAAAATTATTTAATACTTTTAATTTCTGGTTTCTTCTTATGACTGTTTGCATTTTTTATCGATGAGTATATCGCCTCGCTGAGTGTGGAATTCAAGGTCCAATTCCTGAATAACGACTAGGGTTGTGTGCGGCAACGGCTATTAGTAGACATTTTGTGTGGTCTAAAAAGTTTCGCGAGCAACGCTTGGCAAACGGAAGGTAACGCTTTCATGTAAATCCAACGCTGTTCCAATAAATATTGAAGCGAGAAAAGGTATATACTGTTAGATCTTGCATTATTAATCTGCATACGTCATTTGAATCATTCGTCGCATTACATTCTGGCGTGTGATCAGATTTTAGTTCCGCGAAATCACAGACTCATGAAAACAGCGTGAAGAAAAATAAGAATGCGAATAAAAGATGCGTCTTTCGGGTTTCAGGCATATATAAATTTTTGGAAAGACAATGATAAAATTTCTTCTACACGTATAATTTTTTATTCAAGATGTATTCTAATTTTTTAATTCAATTAAATTCTATTCAAACTTTTTTTTATTTTTAAAGTGATAATTGTTTTTCGAATATGCGAATGTTGATGTGTGACAATCTTTCAGCTACATTGCTGCAAATTTACCTTTATATTCCACTTGTTTTACATTGTGTACTGACCTGTAATAATCTTCTTTGCAGTAAATATTGCCGTCTCTGGCGTAGCAGGACGTCTGGGTGGCCAGAGGCACCCGGCAGTGACAGCAACGTAAGCAGTCGCAGTGCCATGCACGTTCGGCCGCCTGTAGATACCAGCGTTCAGCGATCTCCCTTCCGCAGCCTCCGCAGCCGAGAGGAACCTCGGTGCCGCTGATACCGCCGCCACCCCCGCCGTTACCGCCGCCTCCGCCGCCGCCTTCGTTCGCGCCGACCTGCCGATTGTTCGCCTCACCGCTGTCCCCGGGCGGGGGAGTAATGCTCCCGCAGCCGACTTCCTTCAGCATCTCGCTAGATGAGAATCGACTCGAAGATGCATTCTGCTAGCGCGCCGTTACGACGCACACCGCTGCATTCTGCAAGCTGATTATCGCGAGTTCTTAGGAAATGGCGCGATTAAGGTTTCTGGAGTCGGTGTCGTTAAACCATGCAAATTAATTCTTTGCAGCACAACTGCGGCTCGCTCGCAGGATGGATAATGAAATATATGTTCAAATTTGGGATCAATTATTACAGAAGTAAATTTTCACATCTCTGTGTACATTATTTTGTAGCTTGTAGGTAAAATTTCTAATGTTGTAATAAAATAGATTGCAACTGTTTAAAAAAAAATGCCAAATGTTTGAAAGGGCCAAAGAGACTACTTATTACAATTATTCGAAAGTGTTGTTTTAATTTTTGTTTAAAAATCTGCGAATAGTATTTGTTCCGAGGATGCAGAATTAAAAATTTGTTAGAAAAAAGACTTAAATGTCAAATGTCAATATCAGTACATTTTCCTTAAGTCATATTTGTTTGAAAAAAATACAAAAGACTGTTTTATATATTTTTGTCGTTAGTATTTGCATAAATAGTAATCTCAGATTCTATCAGTTAATTAATTACTTATCTTGATACACCGGATTATATATATAACATATATATATATAACTTATACTCTTTACAAAAGTATGATAAATTCTTTTCAAAATGTATAATGAACTCGGCCGATTATGCGATTGCTCGTAAAAAATTCTAGATTTTTATCTAGAATTTCTACCTGTCATCGCAACGATGAGACTCAAAAGTCTACCAGGATCCTTACGAGTCACTTTGCGCGCAGGTGCGTTCATTCAGAACACGCTGCCCAGGTGACGCACGCAAGCAAGAACCGGTGAATGAAAACAATTCGTGGTCGGCGATCCGTTAATGAACGACTCGGTTTCGAATCATGATTTACGAGACAACGCGCGATTTCCGCTAGGCAAACGCGACGTAATGTCCCTCGTTACGAAAATGTCAGCGTCGCAAATCTTGTTGACACGCGTCTGTTGGATCTCCACGCAGTTCACGATTTTGCAGGAAATGATTTTCCATTTCCAAATAACAGAATCTCTCGCGAGTGTTAGATCTTAACGGGCCCGATCATTATTTGAGAATTATCGATTTTAAAAACCGGGCAAATTAGCCTAAAATAGATTTAGCTTATAGCGCACATCGCAATTTCGCATTGCGGCGGTATTATGTCTGCAATGGCGGATTTGATATCATTATGCCATATTTCCACAAAATCGGTTCGATCCCTCGATAACAAAATCTTTGTACACTGCAAAAAAATGTACACAACTAAGATGTAAAAATTACATGATAAATAACGGAAATATGCTAAATAAATAGTATAAAATTATGTAAATTTACATTATATATTTCGTAAATTTCTGTTATTTATCTTGTAATTTTTACATTTTAGTTGTGTGAATTTTTTTACAGTGCACGCCCAATAACATCAGCGTATAGTAACATTTACATCAAAAGTATTAACGAAGACGAATAAAATGTTTATTTCGTTTTCCAATTTCCATCAAAGCCACGCGGAACACTGGAAATATCTCGTCTCAAGGATTACTCGCGCACAATGCAATGCCAATCGCACAAATTTTCGACGCTAATTAATTCATTCTTGATAATGGGATTGTTTGAGGCGAAGAGCAAAGTGCCTGTGCCATCCTCGCGAATTTACATTGCGGCGGTATTATATCTGCAATAGCGGATTTGATATCCATGTACTATATTTCCATAAAATCGATTGGATCCTTCGATAGCGAAATCTGTGCAGCGAGAAGTGCATGCTCAGTAACATCAGCGTATAGCTACATTTACATCGAAGGTATTAACAAAGTATCCAGACGAATAAATGTTTATTTCGGATTGCAACAACCAAAGAATCACGTTAAATATTTATTTGAAAATCGTTTTATTACTATTTCTAAATTTTTGCGCAAAATTTTTGATTAAAATATTGGAGTTTATCAACGAATTATTATATGAATTTAGTTTAAAACGTTTAAATATTTAAATAAATACATGCACATATTATCAATTGTTAAAGAAAGATTTGTTACAAATCTAGAAATTTTATAAAATTGTTAATGTATCAAAAAATAAAACAAAATTATCATCAAATTGTTATCAATATAAGAACACATAATTAAAACAACAATGATGATTTTAGGATAAATTCTTTTTGCTATTTTCGAAACGTTTTTAAAATAAAATGGTGGAAAAGACGCGTTCTTCAAATTAATTATTTTTTTTTTTTGAGGAAGTAATTTTATTTTTTAGATAAGAAAACACGCACTTTTATAAGAAAATAACGTGCTCCATGCTGTAACATTTTAGAGAGATTATTATCTACCAGGTATCTTTATTTTTTTCTATCTTAAAATACTCAAGCGGACACGCGGACTGACCTCTCAAGGAACTCTAACGATTGCTAGGATTTCTTTTTTGTGCTGACTCACTTGAAATCCGTTAAACAGCTGGAAACGCGACGGCAAATTCTACCGTTGGCCGTCCGTCGCTGTTTAATCGCCGTCGACGAAGCACTCTGCGCTCGAATTTACTCTCGCTCGGCTATTCTCATCTAATCGCGGTCATCTCGGAGTCTCTAACTTTTCCATAGTTTCGGCCCGATCGCGAGGTAGTTTCACGTCGGATATTCCGGTGCCCCGACGATTCAACTATCTTGAATCGACGACCAACTAGTCGTCGCGGTCATCAATCACGCTCTGGACAAGAGGAAAGCGAGAATGCGGAGAGGATAATTTCTCTACACAATATCGATTCACTATTCTGCGATAATGAAACCTTTCAGTGAGAAGCGCTTACTGTTTTACTGTTAAAAAATTTATGAAATGCTATTGCTCTAACATTTTTCGAAAAATTAAATCAAAGTTCCTAAAAAATATTATTTTATCTAACGGTTAGAATAATAAGAAGCTGGTGGATGTACTCGGTATTTGTTTATGAAAAAATTATAATTTTAACTTATATTTTAATTATTGAAATTATTGTTCACATTTTTGGATAATATCTATACTTTTAGATTTTAACGAAAATTTTCTTTCAAAGAATTC